CCAAAAGCTATAAACATCACACGAAAATTCCTAAACCTTCGACGAAATGTTGGTATTGTGGCGCATGGCACTTCTCAAGATTTTGCAGATTTAGAAATCATAGATGCACGGTGTGCAATAAACTTGGTCATAAAGAATCAGTTTGCCGGACTAGAGAAAATTTGAGATCAAAGCCGATGAAGCGTCTTCACCAGTTTCAAAACAAATATATTAGCAGTATATATTCTACACGAGCTCTAAGCATGGCAGATAAAAGAAGGTATGTGGACTTAGCGGTTAATGGTATTCATGTCCGATTACAATTGGATACAGCGTCAGATATCACATTGATCTCTAAACGAACATGGAATTTAATTGGTTGTCCACAAGTATTACCTACTGAGCATACTGCACGAAATGCATCCGGAGATATATTAAAGCTTGTTGGAATTATAAAATGCTCTGTTGAATTTCGAGATAACTACTTCACAGGGAATTGCTATTTAACGAACAGGCATGACTTAGATCTCATTGGAATAGATTGGATAGATAAACTAAACCTATGGGATGTACCATTGAGTGAAATATGTATGATGAAGTGCACAAATAGTCCTAGAGATCTACCCATTGTTCATGTAGCTAAGAAAGCCATAACGATAGAAGACCTCTTACAGAAACACAAGAAGTTGTTCCAGAATAAATTGGGATGTTGTACCATTGGAAAGGCAAAGTTATATTTACGACAGGATTTAAAACCTGTTTTTTGTCCAAAACGCCAGGTCCCATATGCAGCCACCGATAAAGTTGACAAGGAATTAGATCGATTAGAGAAACTGGGTGTTATACAACCGGTTAATTATTCAGCATGGGCAGCACCAATAGTAGTAGTGCAGAAAGCAAACGGAACTATTCGTTTGTGTGCAGATTTTTCAACAGGATTAAACGATGCTTTACAAAATCACTCATATCCACTTCCCTTGCCAGAAGATTTGTTTATTAAACTAAACGGTGGACGTTACTTTTCCAAACTTGATTTATCTGAAGCTTATTTACAAGTAGAAGTTGACGAAGATTCGAGGGAGCTATTAACCATTAATACCCACCGTGGACTTTATCAGTTTAGTCGATTACCGTTTGGCGTAAAACCAGCTCCAGCAATTTTCCAACAGATAATGGATACCATGTTGTCTAACCTTGAAGGTGTGGCAGTTTATTTGGACGATATTATAGTTGTTGCCTCTTCTGCTCACGAACTGATGAGTCGGTTAGACGTAGTGCTCAATAGAATATCGCAAGCCGGTTTTCAATTACAAAACGAAAAGTGTCAATTTATGCTGGATTTTGTTAAATATCTTGGATATATATTTGATAAAGATGGTCGCCGGCCAGATCCAGACAATATAAATGTCATCAAAAATATGTCCACACCAACTGATGTTACAACTCTCCGTTCATTCTTGGGGATGATTGGATATTATAGTATGTTCGTACCCCAGATGTATAAATTGAGACACCCGTTAAATCAACTTTTGACGGCTAATGCAAAATGGCACTTGACAAAAGAATGCCAATATTCTTTCGACGAAATAAAAAGGATTTTATCTTTTAAATTATTGTTGACTCATTACAATCCTAAGCTTGAAATAATTGTTGCCGCTGATGCTTCCAACTATGGAATTGGGGCTGTTATCAACCATCGTTTTCCTGATGGTAAAGAAAAGCCGATTGCTCATGTATCCCGAACACTTAACCCAGCTGAACGAAAATATAGTCAGATTGAAAAAGAAGGATTAGCTATAGTTTTTGCAGTAAAGAAATTTCATAAAATGATTTATGGACGTCGATTTACTCTTCTAACAGATCACAAGCCGCTTTTATCTATATTTGGATCGAAGTCAGGTATTCCTGCATATACAGCTAATCGATTACAACGCTGGGCTATTACACTACTTGCTTATGATTTCCGAATTCTATATAAATCAACTGAAAAGTTTGGACAAGCTGATGTTTTATCTCGATTAATTGCGAATCAGAAGCAGGAAAGCGAAGATTCTATTATTGCAACGATATCATTGGAAGAAGATATCCACCAAATACTACAAGTTGCTATAAAAGCAACACCATTATCCGCTACACTCAAGAAGACGGCGAGCTGAAACGGATTATAAGTTACCTTGAACATGGTTGGCCTGCTCATATAGACAACAAAAACATTGAACAGTATGCTCACCGACGAAATTCCTTATCGCTCGTGGACGGGTGCCTAATGTTTGGAAATCGAGTTATTGTACCCACAAGCCTACGTCGGAAAGTGACGTTAGAACTGCACGCTGCACACTCAGGGGTAGCGCGGATGAAAGCACTTGCACGCGGTTATGTATATTGGCCGAATATTGATGCGCAGATTGAAGAATATGTTGCGAAATGTTCAGCATGTGCAAAAGCCATGAAAGCGCCTCGCAAGACCGAAATGCAGAGTTGAGGAACACCGTCAAATCCGTGGTCAAGAGTTCATGTAAATTTCGCCGGTCCTATAAACGGTAAACAGTTCCTGATAATCATTGATACTTTCTCTAAGTGGCCAGAAGTCCACTATATGAAATATGTCTCAACACAAGCTACGGTGAAGAAAATGAGGCAAGTATTCAGTTGTTTTGGGTTTCCAGATATATTGGTGTCAGACAATGGACCACAGTTTACCTCTGCTGAATTTTCGAGGTTCTGCATTGCCAATGCCATTAGGCATATCAAGACACCCCCATACCATCCACAGTCTAACGGCTTAGTCGAAAGGTTCGTGGACACTTTTAAAAGAGCATTGCTTAAAGCCAAAGGGGAAGGAGAAATAGAAGATATAATTCAACGATTTTTACTAAGCTACCGCGCAACTCCCAACCCAGCGACAAATAATCAAGAAAGCCCGGCAGAAGTAATTTTTAGGAGAAAGATTAGAATACCTATGGAACAAATGAAGCCAAAACCTGAAATCAGTCTCCGCAAGAATAAACGAATGAAACGGCAGTTCAACAAAAGGCATGGAGCCTTACCCAGAAGGTTTAATGTGGGACAAGCAGTAATGGCAAGAGATTTCCAGGGAGTTAAGCCAACCTGGAAGTTTGGCATCATAGTGCGGAGAAAAGGGAAAGTTATTTATGAAGTGAAAGTTGGACAAAAGATATGAGTACGACATGCAAACCAGATACAGCCGACCAGACAGGAGTGGGAGATAGGAAGTGACAGAAAGCATGATATACCATTATATATATTAACGGAGTCGGATAATGAAATTAAAAAGGACCTGAATAAAAAGAAGACGTGTACAACACTCCCAAGGCGGTCGCAGCGCATCAGGCGGAAACCTAATCGTATAAAAATAAATCCCAAGGATCGTTATTATCTATGATGCTTCAAAAAAGGGGAGGTGTTATATACCAGGAGAAAAGTAAGTACTGATAAATTACAGGACCTCTTATTAGACTATTATTCTATTTATATTCCTATGGTATAACTATTTAGTAACTGGATTATCTATGTCTATATTCATCTTATTACTAGCTTCATTCTGACCTATTGATTATTATTATACGATTTATTGTTCCTAAATTATACTCGGTTTATTGAGTACTGTCTCCCACGCTCCCAGCCACGTTTGGCTTGATTTTGTACAAATATTATTTTCTATTTTATGGTGTGGTCTGCCTGTCTGGTATATAGATAAAGTATGTTTGAAATAAACGATTCGCATTACAGCAACTGCTATTGGTGTTCTGGACTCAAGTGGACGGGTTAGGCGGATAAGGACCAATAAGGACGCTAGATTACTCATACTAATCGAACGTCATTGTCACAGTGTGAAGATCGTAGAAGTCGTATTCTATTGGTGGATAATTTACGCGAATTACGTCCTTGTTAAATTCGTAAGGTCATAACGAATCAGCGACGACCTTGGTCAAGTCATAACCATTGGCTACAGCCTAGGTCAAATGCATAACAGTCACTACATCTACTACTCTGGGATTTCGCCTGACAACTTTATCTTTCTGTGCTAATGGGGTACCGTAAATTGAACTGATGTTCATAAGTAAGGGGTATACGTTGTGATTGACCGAATGTTAAGTTTTTCAGTCTGACTCAATAAAATGGATATAAGACAACTACAGGAAAGTTAAACATGCTAAGAACTGCCTTCATCAAACCTGGTTTTGGAACTCAATAGTTTTTACGTTTTGTCAATATTATGATGATAATAATTCAATAGGAGACATCAAAATATGATAGGTATCCTAGCAAATTAGTTTTCATACTACTTGATGTGTGGGAGAGAACGATAATGATCGGTTGTTTTGCTGATTCAGACATGTGGATAATCTGACAGGTGTTATATATTACCCTATCTTTATTATTATTGATTGACTGTTCCTTGTTGTTGGGTTGTGTCGGATTTCGGTGTGGAAATATATTGACGTTTTAGTCAGGGTAATCTCGTGTTCTTGATCTGAGTTGTGTTGGAGTCCTGCAGAGTAGACACTGGGTGGGAATCTAGTGTAGATATTCGTCTAAGGTAAATTAACGTCCCACATACGTGTAAAAAGTTAAAGGACTGTTATAACAAGAAACCCTAGCGTTATAACAAGTATCCTACCTTTTATAACATTACTAATTGATGAAAAATTCTATTTTAAGGTAAGATGAATAATTTCAACCAATACTAAGAAAAATAAATAGAACTGAATACAATTTGAATCCCGATAGACACGAGATAACCGAGAGCCCGCAAACATGGAGATCAAATGTTTTCTAAAGAATAACAAGCATTTGTCTAAATTTATAACAGTTTTATCAAGTATCTAAAGTCTAGCGTATTTGGATAGCTGAATATAAGAAAAATGAACGTTTTTTCTTCATTTACGTTTGACTTGTTAACCAGTTTAAAAATTTCCTAATCAGTTCCCTTAAGTTGAACTGAGTATTGATTCGCAGTAAATGGAAATACGCGTTGATAAATATAAGTAAAACATGTTCAAATAGTGACAGCCAATTTTATACAAATTCATGAGAATTATATAGCAGAGTTATCAACAACAATTAATTTGAATATACAAAATGAATCACTTAGATTTAGTGTGTATACTGCTATGATAAGCAGTCCTTAAACGAAGGCGTGGCAGAATCCTCATGCACATTAGTTCTTGGAAAAGCAGCTTGCAGGCATATGGCATACGGACAGAAACAACTTGTCGACTACTTCGACAATACTGACACCAGTTAGGTGACGTAGCTAACAAACCACATTTTTCACATACGCATGCATCATAGGCATCGCTGGAAAGCAGAAGACGTTCTAATAGTAACTGTGAAGTACCATAAGCAATAAAACAGTCTCGTTCCATTTCTCCAACTCGTAAACCTCCTTCTCTACTACGACCCTCAGTCGGCTGCCGAGTCAATGCTGTGACGGGACCGCGTGAGCGAGCATGTACCTGAAAGTGATAGTGCAATAGTCTAAGAAAAACAATACAAGGTATCCAATAAGTAAAATGCGAATCAAGTCCATAGACACTGCAAAACTTTTACAAGGCAGCTCGGCAAAACACTACTCCCAAACCTTATTCTGTTCAACTTAATGGGATAAAATATGTTTGGATATATGCAACTAAATACTAGGTATGTATTCATTCAGAAACAGTAAAATGTTTTATATTGAAGCAGAATTATATGCGATTCGACGGTTTGATAATAATAATTTTGATTCAATATGTGCTTCTACATGTCACCGTAATATTAAGACCAATTGTAGTAGCCAAGACCCTCAAACGAAGGGAACAGCAGTGGCAATGCAAATAACTATCTACATTCCTGTGATCAAGGCAAGGTGAGGTAAAACTGTGGTGTATGTTGCACCAATCAGAAGTGGGGTACCTGACAGCAGAAGGTTGAGAAGATCGAACCGAAGCGAACAGGAATGTAAGCAGAGATTAATTGTAATAATTTCGAATAAATTCAGCATTGCGTAGATCGTTTTAAATAAATAATACATTTGTATTAACCCAATGAGTAGAAAAATTACATTTTTTGATGTTTTGTGACTAAGTGTAAGTCACTTCTTCAGAGAATAAATAAGCAAATCAAAATTAATCCGAGTTTAAATAGTACAGCACGTCAGAAAATCTAATTTTTCTACTCATCGGGATATTACAAATATAATATTTATTAATTTATTGCAATAACAACAGGAATGGAGGAACAATGAAGTTTGTAAAAGACAAGTGATGGAAGATTTACAAATGAAGTATTTAATGTATGGTTTTCGTACTTTACGAAGACATTCTGTAATTTTGTATTAACTAATAAAGTGGTCTTCCTCACCTGAGTGTTCGTTCAATACATACCCATCAAATAAACTACTGAATTTAGTGTTGCGTTTAGATTTCAATTCTTGTAGTTCGTAATGGATTATAACACAAGAAATGGAATAAAGATATCTCTTGGATTTAGAATACCTCTTTACCTGTAGCAATTAGTAATTACCAGTAACTCCATACTTCAAGCAGTAAGTTGCTTCCTTTACTGAAAGCCTAGGGATACTGTTTATTCATTTTCCATTACGATCCAATCTAAAAAGTTGGGTGTCAAAACCTATATGTTTTAACGCATACAAAATTTATCAGTAAATAATTCAATTATCAATATCTAGTGAAAGGGTAAAGTCCTCGGATTCATTAAGCTTTAGAAATACAAACATATTTTATCACTTGAAATATTTGGAAATATATTTCGCAAATTTTGTCAAACAAATCACAGCTATAGGACATCTATGGTTTAAACGTTGAGTTGTATCTATTTTGATTTTGAAGAGCTTTTTTAAATATTTTATTCTAGACTAACTCTCAACTGAAAACACCCTAAATATGTTTTTTTTTCATATTTGACCAAAGCACACCAATTTTACATTAAACTATAAATTGGTCTTCGTTCTCTACATAACTAATTAGTGTTTCGGTGGCTTTTATTTCATTATGACTCTAACCTGTTTTCAAAAGATCTACATGATTACTCTAATTCTAAACCGAAGAAAAATAAAGACGAAAGGAAACCAATTATGAAGCCAGTAATCTCAATCTATATCAAAGTCAAATTGGGATTTAAAAAGATCAAAAAAGCTTTACTTGTCAACGCTTACTTTATCCATAACCATATGCTTAAGTCGCTGGTAATAAACAGGACCAAAGTAAATAAATGCTTCAAGTGGGGCTCCAGTAACGCCAGAATACAAAATCTCCTTACCAAGATAATGATACCCATGATCAATAAGTACTTGTGAAAGGACTTCAGCAGGATCCCCAGAAAAAGCTGAACCGTCTCGAATTTTCCCTTCGATAGCTCCGGCTTTGCTACCCAAGACTTCTAACAATTTACCCACCTTTAAAGTAGATACAGACAATAAATTAACGAGATCGAAATGGAAAAAAAAATTAAAAACATGTTTATTATGAACAGTTTCTAAATGAATTGATAGTTACCAAATGGAATAGATCCTTTACAGTAACAGAAATTTATTCCACGATGGTTTATACATCAGTTTACATGTAGTGACTTCTAAGTACTAAAAATCTAGGTGACTAATTCTAACAGAGTGTATAAATTATTTGCTTGAATTCAATTGAACAGAATCCACTTTAATTGAAAGGCCAAATCAGCATTTCACAATTTTAAGCCATCTCCGGATAATTAAGATACCATACAATGTAAAAAATATTTGCGAAATTTCAAGATTACTCTTTTAGAAACAACATAAATTACGTAATTTTTCAGAAGAAAAATATTCACATTTTGAGGATGCTAAGTCCCTAGAATTCACTCAGTAAACGGTTTCTTCGTAATTTTATTTTGGAAATTTGAATTTTTCCTTTTCACGCCAAAAGCGCCCATTTTTACTTTCAGATTGTATTTCAAGCTTGAAAGAATCCTAAATGTCATCGGTTGGCCTCCTTTTTTAGTATGCTATTTTGTGACGTATATATACACTTGAGTTGTATGCTTGTTGTTATTCATGTTTCTGTCTACTTGTCGAATAAAATTTCTTTCATTCGAACCTGAAAATCTACCTCTTGCTAGCGGGACTGGGACACATTGGAATAGTTTAGCTGTCTCGTCGTTGTGTCGCTGATCCTTCGTTCCGTTTGCCGATTTTTGGGTGATCTCGTCATCTCTTCAGACAGCATTACATTCATAAGCACTGTTTATGGATAGATTTATTTTGTTTAATATTACATAGGTGATATAATTTTACAGAGGTAACTTTGTTGAGAAATCTTAAGCTCATTCCTTTATCCTAAGCATTTATCTACATAAAAATGTGTTTGAAATAATCTATCCTTAATAGCCTGAAGAAGTTGAAAATAAATTATCGATGTTTCATGACTCTATGCAAGTGGGGTTTTTTTCCAAAGAATCAATATCAAGCAAACGCAAGTTTAAAAACGTTCAAGTAAGAAAGTAAACCCAATTATAAATTAAAAACAAAATTAAGGATGCTACTCCCATAATTATCAAAGGTGAACATTCACAATGCACATTCCTTGTGTCATATATACACTGTGAATCAGTGATTAAATTTGTACGTGCATTTCGTAGCATAACAGATGACATGTTACTTTTTAAACAAATCATGCAATCCAGATGGATAATAAGACCTTTTTCATTGAGAAAGATAGGATTCAGCACTCAGTTGCTTTGATTACTACCTGTCGTTTTCTATAATTAGTGGATTTCTTTTTGAATTTCATTAATATTTTCAAGATCGATCTGACGGTCACTTAATGTGGCATACATAGTTTCTGCTGATTTACCTTGATAGTTTAAAAGATCTACAAACTGTATGTAGAGTTTGTGTAACAGAGATTAATTGTAATAATTTATTCTTGGACCAGGAGTTTTACTTTCTGACTTTAGATACGCAGGGAACAACTTTGCCATAACGCAGAACTTTTTGAACACCGTGAGTGACCAAGCATGTTCAAATGTGTTTCTCTTGTTTCTTCCGTTGAATCTCAAGTTTCTATATCTTTCGTAATTTATATTTCTCGGATTCATTTCTTCTTTTTGAACAGTATTCTTTAATAAGTAGCCTTTTTCATTATTATTAATACCATAGTTATTTCGGCTTTAAATGTTCATCTTTGTAATCTCATCTTTTCGTGCTTATTTGGTATGGTAACTAGGACTCACACATATTTGTCCCAAGCTCTGTTGACTATGACTGACTATAAAGCAGTTCTGTGTTGAGACAAAGTGAATTTTACAATTTATTTGAGAGAAATCACTTTAGAATCTGTTTAGTGATTTACCTACCGTCATCCTGCTGGGAAATCCATGAGGATTCATTATGATGTCAGGGGTAAGACCATTCGTTGAGAAAGGCAAATCTTCTTGACGAACAATAAGTCCAACGACCCCTTTTTGACCATGGCGGCTGGAAAACTTATCTCCAACTTCGGGTCTTCTAGTTTGGCGCAATAATATCTTTACTACTGCCTGGTTGCCTTCTGATGTGGAAAACATAACTTTTTCTACATAGGACGGCTCTATTCCTTTGTAGTCTACAGGACAACGCTTGAATTCTGTCTACAAGATGAAGAAAATGAGAAAGAATAAGATAGGATCAACTGGGAAAGATGTGGCCCTGAAGTTGATTTTTTTATTACAAACAAATGAAATGGTAAGTATACAAAATGGATATGACTTAAATGAAGAAATAAACCACAATAAATTATAAGATTTGTGTCTGCATTTAAACGTAAATGCAAAGAACTAATTTCACGTAAAACCATAACCAATAGTGATTTACAATGTTCAAATTAAATCTAGTGCATATCAGTAACCGACATAATATCAACTTTGTAAATTCATAAACTAATTTTTGTGAACTTCTCTCACTCTCATTTTAAAATGTCAAAAGGAGTTGAGCATTGGAAATATTTAATCATCACAAAAAATGCTACACATGAAAAGTGGTACATATTTAGTTAACAGCTTAGTAAAAGTTTTGAATTATGGATACTTTTGTAGTTCAACAACAACAAAATATTTTATTATTTCAGTTCTCTTGAATTGACACTATTCACTGATCTTCAGAGCATTGATATTAGATACTATAAATTGTGGATTTTTAAAAATAAATATAAACCACATCCCAACACGGTTGAACATCATTGATCACAGTTTCTGATCACGACTCTGAGAATTTACTTTCGAATGAAGACACCAGTGAGTACATGATAATTATCAATATAAGAGGGTTTATGGAGATTATTGAAATAACCAGTGCTTCCTGCTCCTTGATGGTCGTCTAACTCGGTTCTGTTTGTGATCTCAATCACATTTCGTTGGGGAGACCCAGAATATTCCCTAGAAAAAGACCAAAGGGACCCTGAAAGCGCTGGGAAACATTTTATCAAATCGTCATTGAATAGAATTTCCTCAGAAACGTCTAGAAGGTGAAACTACGTGTCACATCCTGCTACTATATGTAGTAAGGTTCCAGAAGCCTAATGTCATCTGAAATGCTACAAATACCCTAGTTTTTCTGTAAATGTTGTATTTTGCGGCCTTGTGCCCCTATCAATATGTCACGTAATGATGCCGTTTATCAGAGAGTAGTGATTTATCGACCGGACCAATGACGTATTAAACCCGTACGAGCAGTCTAGAGTCCTTGTCGGTTCTTCTTCCTGCCTAGCTTTGCCTGTTGAGTCCAAAACACCGATAACAACCTCTGCGATATGAATCATGTATTTCAAATATACTGGGTTTATATAAAAACCAAACAGAGCACATCGTACCACAAAATAGGGAATAACATATGTGCAAGGTTCAGTCAAAAATGCCTGCGAATGCAGGAAATAGTAATTGATAGACTGGGCATAACGGTGAATCGTATAATAATAGCAAAATAAAGCTTATAATAAGAGAAACATGAATATGAATAGTTTAGTTACTTAACAATTATACAATAAACATATATATGTATGATTTTAGTCCAGAATTAGACTCCAATGCCCCCAAATGCCCTAGTACGGCAGAGAGTGGGGAGAGTCCGCTCTCCCTCTCCAAATGCTCTCATATGGCCACGCAAATATATAGCCTCTGCCAGGGAAGTCCTACTCACTGCCTTCTCGTGGTGAGGGTGTTGTTCACAAAAGTGACAGGAGGAAAAGCGAATGTCCGGGGCTTTAACCGGGTTGGTGGACATGGAGGGTCCACCTAGGGGAGTTGGAAAACCCTGATTCCAAACCAATGGTGCACATGGGCTCCAGTATCCTGAGGGAACAAGTGGCGTACGAATCAATTATTGATCACCGGCTACCATGGGACTGCATCTCCTCATGATGCTCCACTGCCTTGTGGACTAGACCTTTAGGTCAAAGGCTCGGGGTGTGGCCCCCTAAGAAAACCACCTGCTTCAGTATCACAGCCCTCACACAAATCGAATGAGATTTGTGAGGCGCATGTGTATCTGGTGCTTTCTTGAACCAATATTTATATGTTTAAATAATAAATACACTCCAACAGCTACCATCCCCTTTTCTCATCGGGATATAACACCCCCATTATTTGAAGATTCGGAGTTGATATCCGGATTTTAAATTTTATGACTTTATACTCGTCCACGAAATAATGTTGGATCCTCATATCCTCAAGTTACAATTAAAGTGAATACGTTTAAAACATATTTTAGAATATTTAAGACTCCCATTGTGAAAATTAGAACAACATATGTAAGCGAACAATTGTTTCCAATTAGATCGTCATCAGGCTTTACTTTAATATACATGAATATTGATACGAAAATGTTAAACCAATCAAGGCAATTTGAGTCAACACAGGTATACGATAGATCACTCGAAATGATTCCAATTTACCTACATTATGAAAGCTATCAATTAGATGTGCCAGTCATAATAATGACTGTATTTTGTACCGTATATTCCCTACTAAGATTTTTATAATTAGTCCAGTAGTGAAAGAAAAACCCAATATAAGTCTTAAAGACATAGAATTTACCGCATTTTCAGGTGTATTCACATTCAAACTAAGCGATCCCGCATTATCCAATACAGCACTTGAACTAACAACAGGCATTTCTTTATTGATAAGGATTTGACGGTCGTTAACACAAGCACCAATGTAAGCAACTCCATCCGCCTGAAGCACCTCATCTCCACGACGAAGAACCCCGGTTTCTAAGTAGAACGAAATATAGAGTGGTACAGAGTGGAGATTAAACGGTGAATACAAATAGTGTTAACATCAATGTTTTGTATCTCGATATAGATGAAAATTTTTACATTTCGTTGATTAAGACAAATAACCGAATGGAACTCTTACGTCGACAAGATAGGGAATTACTTGAAACACTAGTGGACAAAATAGGATACAGCTAAATAATGCTAATTTCAATATGGAAATGTAGAAAATTAACTCACACATATGGAAACGAATGCTTAAACTATCATAATAAAGCTTTACCGTAAGGAGTTTTTAGAACTTCCTACAAATATGAAGAATGATAAATCATGTAAAAAATATAAAATATTTAGTTATTTCAGGACATAATTTTAAAGATTACATGAGGTAAAAGTAAGTCAGCTACAACGCAGGACAAGGCACATATATGCATCGGTCCAAGTTGCCATACCTCATTACCACAACAAGATGAACAACAAATTCATAGAAGTAGTTAATTTAATGATCGTAATATATAAAAGAAAGATTGTATATAAGTGTTATATCTAGAGCCTTGATTCTTAATATGCCGCGAACTACTTGACTACTTGAACGATAGAACCCGCAACGTCGCAAAAGAGAGAAGATAAAGACTGGTAAGCAGGAAGTTTATTGCCCCGAACAATGTCAAAATATAGCACAGAAATCTCGTGCATTTGTAGTTATTGGCTGAAAATAAATTATCATTTAGGTCAACCAATAAGCACATAGGTATCAAACTAATCCATCCAATGGAGAAGCTCCACGTTGGCATTTCTAGAACATTCCCCTAGCCGTGATTGGATGGAATGTCTGCGGCTCTTCCTGGGCTTCTTAAGGCTTCCTAGAGTCTACCGACGGGCCGTCCTTACACCTCCCCCTTTGAAGTCTGTGATGTATGAATTTCTTTTTGGATTTTCTTGAAGCATTGTTGTTGTTCTCGTTTTTCTGTTCATCACCCTTGTCGGCTGAACGCTCTCACTCTTAAGTTTTTCTAGTCGTTGGTTACGGCCTTCTTTCGGGCCTTTCTCCACCAGAATGTGGAACGGTACTTGTGTATCTACTGCTGCTGTTCTATGATTCCTTTTTATCTGATTCATATGTCTGGTACATTTTCCGTCCCTTCCACGGACTAAATAAAGTACTTTCCCGATACGCCGTACTATGACACCTGGTTCCCATTTCTGACCGCCTTGATACTTTACAAGTACTTTTTTGCCGCGTCGTTCGTCTGATACTCTTGTACAGGTTTTCTTCTTTTCTTGGGTGGCGATTTTTTTTCAAATATCCATGAGTTCTTTGCCTGAACTTTTGATTCACCTTCTCCTGCGGCAATGGGTACGTCTTCTCCATGTTTTGCCTGGGGACCAATCAGCCTTGAGAGTGCATCAGATCTCACCGGACTACATATATGATTAATTGGCTGGTTAGCCAACTGCAACATTTCTATCAGGTCAAGACCAAGCAAATCTAGTCCTGGGCTTTCCGTGAGATATACTTTCACATTTTTATGTACATTCCCTTTTTTAACTGAGCAGCATATCTCTCCAGCAATATTTACCTTCTCTCCAGATGCACTGAGTGCTAACTGAGTTGTGGGGAGCACCAAGGGTTTGCCAATATGACTCCATATTTTGCGGCTGATAAATGAAATATCTGAAGCAGTGTCAAGCTGTAGACGGCACGGCGCCCATTAATCTCTAAGGTCACATATTTTCTTCGATTATGTTCTGTTCTGGTGTGTGCTACCATTATTCTATTGGTTGATGAACAATTTTTACGTCTTCGGAAATGTACACTTGGTGAACGACGGTGAATCTTCTTCTTACAGCATGTTTCTTTATGTCCTTCGAGCTGACATATAGTGCACCAGTAGTTTTTGTATGGGCAGAACCTCTTGTAATGCAGCTCTCCGCAAAACCAACATGCGGATGGAGGCTTCTTAATGGTTGTGTTCTGCTTTTGCATATAGGAATCTTTCTTCCCACTTACTGTCTGTACATAAGGTAGTCGACCATTATTTTCTACCATTGAAGTGTCATGCTTCAAATTCACCAGACGCTGACATTCAGTAGTCACCTCTTGAAGGGTGATATTTGGACACTGTTCAATTTTACTTAGAATTCTGGTTCTGATGTCGGCATCTTCTGAAGACTGTAAGCTGCATACGAAAACAAGACATTTGAATTAATCTTCTGTCATTGCTGATAGTTTGAAGCGCTCACATTCACGATTTACTATGCTAGCATGTTGCACCCAGTCATCGTTGCCAGCTTTTACTATCTTCAGGCACTGATATCGAATATTGAACAAGGAAGACTGTTCACCGAAAATTTGCGACAAAATTTTAACTGTTTCCTCGAATGAAATGTCTCTTGGGTTCTTGGGCAGAATGTAATTAGTGTATCGTTCATGTTCAATGGTCCCCAGCTTTCGTAGTAGCACTCTGACCTTGGCGGCATCATCAAACGCTTCTAGGTCAACATTAAATACATCTTCATATTTCTTGTACAAAGATTCGAATGTTACACCAGCCAAACCATCAAAATGAAATTCGTGAATGGAATCAATGATACAATCAGCATGCGATTTAGCAGAAGCATCTGTAAGTCCATTCTTATTGAGGTTCATTTGCTGGGTTAGTGTTTCAAGTATGCGAATCTGGAATTGTTCAAAGCGTTTTTCATGGCGCTCTAGAAAAGCTTCAAATTGGTCAAAGGTAATAGACATCTTGATAAATTAACCCATCGCCAGTTGTTATATCTAGAGCCTTGATTCTTAATATGCCGCGAACTACTTGACTACTTGAACGATAGAACCCGCAACGTCGCAAAAGAGAGAAGATAAAGACTGGTAAGCAGGAAGTTTATTGCCCCGAACAATGTCAAAATATAGCACAGAAATCTCGTGCATTTATAGTTATTGGCTGAAAATAAATTATCATTTAGGTCAACCAATAAGCACATAGGTATCAAACTAATCCATCCAATGGAGAAGCTCCACGTTGGCAATTCTAGAACATTCCCCTAGCCGTGATTGGATGGAATGTCTGCGGCTCTTCCTGGGCTTCTTAAGGCTTCCTAGAGTCTACCGACGGGCCGTCCTTACAATAAGGATATAGTACACGAAGAAAGAAAGATAGGAAGCAATTTCAATTTTATAGTTTAAGGGAAGACAAAGACTGTATACACCTACGCCATTGCGATCGATTCCGAGCCATGTCACTGTTATAACTTGTGGCCGAGTGGATGCCTTGTTAACGTATGATGTGATAAGACCACCAATCAGAGAGCAGCGAATTATCGATTGGAATTGACAGACGAAAACTGTAAGAGCAGTCTAGAGTGCTTATCGGTCCTGCTTCTGCCTAGCCCAGCCAGTTAAGTCCAGAACACCAATAACAGTCTCTGCGGTATGAATCATTGTATTTCAAACATACTGAGTTTATATACCAAACAGACTGACCACATCGTACCAATAAAATAAGAAATAACGTTGGCACAAGATTTGGCCAAATGTGGCTGTGAATGTGAGAGGCAGTAATTAATAGACTAGGGATAACTGAAGAATAGTAAATCGTATAATAATACTGCCTTCAAGTTAAGAACAACTATCATTGCCGGACACCGATGATCATGCCTGTGTTCTGAAATCTGACGGACGGTGAACATGCGGACGATACAGCCAGGTCTGGAGCCAGACTGATTTCGATCCTTTCTTATATATCGAAACAATCAGTGATTGCGACCAGTCAAGTGGAATTACATTCAGTTTCCAGAACTTAGCTAAAATATTCGTCAACCTAGTCGCTAAAATTGGACTACCATATTTAATGACATCTGGAGCTAATCTATTTGGACCAGCGGCTCTACCTCGATTCAGATTAGCTATAGCCTTTTGAACTTCAGCTAGAGTCGTGGCACCTACTTTAATGTTTCCTTCAGGCTGTTTGAAAATGGTGGGTAACTGTACAGTAGATGAAAGCCAGCTAAACTGTTCTGTCCATCATTCCAAACGTCTGGGCTGAGAGCAGATAGAAATTCCATCTTTTTCCGAGATTGTCTCGCTTAAAATTGACATCTTAATTTTGATTTCTTTCATTAGTCTGAAGAGTTGTCTGGTGTTACCTACAACCTCTACCTATTCCATTTCCTGTGCTCTCGTTACCCGACACTGCTAACGATCGTTCCGTATACTTTTATTGATTTTATTTGAACACATAAATATTGGTACAAGGGAGAACCCTTTATATGCGTCACACAAAACAACGAGGATGGAAGGAGAAGAAAGAGAGTAAGGTGCATATAAGAGAAAAGAAAAAAAGAACAATAACAACCACAGATTAGTCCATGTTAGTGTAATAATAAGTATAAAAGCGGGAGAAACACGAATGTACAACCAGAGGAGCTCTCACAGTTAAGAAAGTTATAGCCACTCTTTATGAAGAGAGTAAAAGAAGGTTACAGCGGGCTCGCTACTGGCTTCTATTATGAGCCATATCTGATAACGTCTCTTGCCACTGTGTTGCACCATCCCTCGGACCCCAGCCAGGGAGTCGTGAAGGACCAACAGAAGCTAGCCCTTTGCAGCTTTCTTTCATACCACGACACCATGTCATACACTGACCTCCTCTCCGCTTTTTCCAACCAGTCCCAGGGTCGGCAAATAATGCACGACGTGGAAGTCTCCGGGACGACATTCGTAGAACATATCCAAGCCACCGAAGTCGGTGTTTCAAGATGGTGACACCAATTGAATTATCGTCTCTGCGCCCGAACACACGATGCCGAACCTCTGCATTACTAACATGGTGATGCCACTGGATGTCAGCAATCCCTCGGAGACAACGATGATCGAACACAGAGAGACGTCTAACATCCTCAACTCGGAGAGGCCAGGTTTCACAAGCATAGAGCAAAACTGCTCTCAACGACGCGTTGTAAATCCGACCTTTTACAGCCAGACTAACATCACGAAG